ATGTTCTGTACACATGGGGATGCTTGGCCATACACTCTGATGTCTGATATATGCACACACACACATTCTCTCACCCTCTCTCTCTCTCTCTCTCTCTCTCTCTCTCGTATACACACACACAGGTATGTGAAAACATACACACATGAAGAAGTTAAAGAAAAGAAAGAAAATACCTTCAGTTCTTTGGTCTTTTCTTTTAATAGTTTTTACATTTTTAATATGTTGTATGTGTGTCGACATGCACATGCCAGGGCATGCATAGGTCAGTGAGTCAGCTCTCTCCTTCCATCATGTGGGCTCTAAGTATGGAACTCTGGTGGTCAGGCTTTGTGGCAACTGCCTTTATTCACTGAGCCATCCCAGTGGCCTCTGGGTGCTTTACTTAAAGTGAAAAGTTAAAGTTCCTTGGAGACCATTCTTTCTAAGATTTTGTAATTATTTCATCCTTTTGTTTTGTTTTGCTTTTTTGGTTTGTTTTTATACTAGAATCTATTGCTATACAAAATCCATCTCGTACACACAGTGACACATCTTTGCAGTTTCTGTTGCACCAAGTATTGAAGATTAAAAACACAAAATGAAAACACTGCAAATAGCCAAGTACAGCGCTTTGGTAAACAAACATTAAGATTGTTCAGATGCACACAGTCTGTAGAAGGGAAAAGCCTAGGAGAGATGGGCTGCAGACACCAGACAAAGGCCACACTTCTCACCAAGCTCCACAGACAAAGCAGAACAGCTCCGTCTATGGATCACAACTCCACAGAGATCTTAAATCTCTGCAACTAAAGCCATAACAAGTATGGTGCCACCAGGAAAAGGACAAGGCCTTTTGCTGCATACACACCGACCCTCCTTCCCAGAGGGACTTCATGCAAAAGTGTTGGCACAGTAATTTTAGCACTGTGTCTCTTTGGCAAAATAAATCATTCTGTATTTAACTTCTCCCTAATTCTCGGACACTTAGCTGGTAACCAATCTTTCGAGATCATAAACAAGATCACAGTGAATGATAAATTTTATGTTATACCATTAAATTAAAAGCACAACACACAGCAACATGATTCAATCTGGATTTAACCTATCTGATTTCAAACATTGAATAAGATTATCATAATAAATCCTAGGCCTATCCATTCCATCTTTATAATCCCCAAACTTAATAAATGTGGCTTTTAATGCT